ACTTATCACTTGAATTGAAGACAAGGCTATCCTTGCGTTGAAGAAGCCCAGCGCATACCTTGCGTTGAATTAATGATAATTATTAAGTTAATTAAATTGATTATTATCACAGAGTGAGGAGCTTTGACTCAAATCAAGGTCTGGTAGTTTGTTTTCTTCTTCACCACCACTGCCAGCGTTTCTTCTGTTTTTCTATTTTATTTTTTCCTTTTTTTGTTTGTTATTTATTTATAATATGTTTATTATTATTATTACTGATTTGGCTCTCTCTGTATTTTGTATGATCAATACAATAGCACATGAATTGGTGATTAATTCTGATTTATTTGTTTAATTGATAATTTGATATTGATTTTTTAAGATTAATCTTTGTCAGATTGTAAAGGTATTTGGTTGTCTAATTAATTTTTTTTTTATATAGCTTTTAGTCTTTTATTTATTGCCCATTCCCTGAAAAATTTATGAATCCGCCACTGCCGACATGTTCTTGAATTAGAGAAAATTAAAAATTATAACATTATGCATCATGCCAATTGTATTTATCAATTCAATTTAATTATAAACTATAGTACGTATTAAGAGCGAAAACACAAAAAGGGATTCCCGTAATTTTTACATGCATAAAATTGTTACAATTTTCATTCAAAAAGACTCAAAGCTTATATAAGGCAGGTGATAACTTGTGAGGAGCGCTCCCTAGTTATAAGTTATAACCCGTGAAGGAAGATCTGGCTCTACTTACTAATAAGAGAGTAAGGCCAGGCCCTTGTGATATTTATTTAATTTTAAACCCTAACAATTCCAAAGTAAGCATGTCAAAATTCCACTCAACTTTTAATATATGACAGATAGATTGGTCCCCATATGATTATTATTTGTAGAAATATCTATAAGTGGTAACGAACATGCCTCCATTGTAGCTGACGTGTCCAACCATGGAATAATGTGTCACATTTGCTTTTTAAACAAGTACTTATTCTGCAATCTAATTTTAATTACTAGCAAAATATGTTCTTCTATTTATTTAACGAGCACTTCTTTTTTAATATTATTTATTTATTTGGCTCGTTATTCTGTCCTTGGCATAATTACTGCGAATGCACCGTAATATCTCGTTCATCAAATTGGCAAACTGCATAGAGAAGGAATCTCTTTAGTCAGTGGAAAATGAAAAGGAAAAGCCCAGTAAAAAGAATAATCTGCCCATAAGAATAAGATTATAAATATAAAATAATTTATAAGTATATTTTCAGTCCAATATAGCAACTATTATAGATATTTATATATACAACTGTTCTTACTATCTACACACACAATCTTGGGTGGTCCTTCTCTATACCAGGATAAAGAAATCATGTTGGTTATCAAAGATGAAAACTTTATATCAACAGTTTGTCAAATTTTCCAGGTTAACGGGCTGAGGGCCCACTCCAACAACACCGATACTGTCCCCACTTTACCACCTGCACAATCCTCAGGTGTGGGGTTTTATCACAAAAGGCCTCGGTGTTAGTTAGAGATGAGTATTTCTATTTAAACTACTTTCTCTTTGGCCCTCTAGCCAATGTGGGACAACAATGAGTTCCAACACTCCCCCGCACGTGAGACCCCATTTTTATGGGTCACACGTGGAGATCCACATCAACAACCACGTGGAGCCATGTAGGTACTCACCCATCGCGCGGGGCCAAACGGGGACCCACCCATCACATGGAACCTTTGGCCTACGTGGAGCCAAACAGGGACTCACCCATCGCATGAGGCCAAATGGGGACCCACTCATCACGTGGCAAGTACGGGCCCGCAACCTGGCTCTGATACCATGTCAAATTTTCCAGGTTAACAGGCCGAGGGCTCACTCCAACAACACTGATACTGTCCCCACTTTACCACATGCACAATCCTCAGGTGTGGGGTTTTATCACAAAATGCCTGGGTGTTAGTTAGATATGGGTATTTCTATTTAAACTACTTTTTCTTTGGCCCTCTAGCCGATGTGGGACAACAATGAGTTCCAACACAGTTGTGGAAAAAGAATAATCTGCCCATAAGAATAAGATTATAAATATAAAATAATTTATAAGTATATTTTCAGTCCAATATAGCAACTATATATTATAGATATTTATATATACAACTGTTCTTACTATCTACACACACAATCTTTATCTAGAGAAAATCAAATATACTGTGTGTTGGGTGGATGACTTTTTCTCTTTGAGAAGGACTGGTTGGGTTGGGTCTTGGGTGGTCCTTCTCTATACCAGGATAAAGAAATCATGTTGGTTATCAAAGATGAAAACTTTATATCAACAGTTGTGTTCTGTTTTATTACTTGTCCCTTGAACCTGAAAAGCGGAGGAGGTTAGCTCAATCCACTTAAATCTTAATTAACACTAGTTAAGAGAACTCACACTGTAAATCAAGTTCGACTCACATGGATATCATGATATTTAGCTATGGTATAGTTTTGTTACAGGTGTATTTGCTCGTTATAAAAGTATCTTATAAATTTCCTATCGTTTGGATAAAAATATATATATAATAAGGGTATATAATTAGTAATAATCTTAATATAAAAAAGCTCTCCACACCTCTCTAACATGCATGGCATGTGACTTTAGTATAGTAATACTAATAACATGTGATTTTAGTCTAGTAGTAATTAAAAAACAAGGGAGTAGAAAACGAATTTAAGGATTAAAGTGAAAATGGTGTAAAAAGTTAGGTATAATTGCTACAATTAACTACGTATAGCCGTGCGGCTATATTCTTTAAATATATTATATTTACAAATTATAGCCAATCGGCTATACTATTTATTTAAATATATAAAAACCCACCTAGCGTAGTACAGCCGCGCAGCTATACCTAAGATTTTTTTTAAATAGTATAGCCGCGCGGCTATACGTGGCCCTTTTTAATTTTTTCATGTTTAATACACCTTTTTACAAAAAAAATTTCTATAGTAGTATAGCCGATCGGCTATACTCGTGATTTTTAATAAATTTTTTTAATAGTATAGCCGCGCGGCTATACGTGGACTTCTAAATTTTATTTATTTATTAAATATTACAGCCTCGCGGGTATGCTCTGCACTTTTTAATTTTTTTTTTAATAAATAGTATCACCGCCCGGCTATATTCGGGATATTTTTTTAATAGTATGTTCGTGCGGCTATACTCAGACAAGATAAAGGTTTTTGGCCATGGCAGTAGATAAATCTTGTCTATGGAAGACACCTGAGCAGCTGACATGGGTGAATGATTTAAGGGCATTTTGTTGACCTCCCCTACAACTTCTTCTTTTGTTGGGCCATTCTATCTATGCCGACAATGAGCGTGACTTTATACATTAAAAATTAAAACACATGCGAGAATTAAAGAACCAAAATGAAACTCGAGTATAAGCTCAAAAACCATTAAAAACTATCACCGTGCATATTGAAAAGACCATTTATGTTTCTGCATAAAGAGCGTGAGTCAGTTCAAACTACAAGAAGCTACTTCCTACTTGTGTTTCTGATTAATCAAGACATTTTGGGGAGCATGTATTTGTGCTTGTTTGTGTCTGAGTTGGTTTCAAACCCAATCCAAAAAGTTCATGTTTGGAAATTTTCACAACCCAAAACCCAACAAAATTAAATTGGGATTGGATAAGTTGGATTGCTAGTTGGGCTTTGGGATTGGATAAGTTTGGATTGCTAGCAGGGCTAGTGATCTCTCTTTTTGGGATTGCTTGCTATAACCGGGAAATTTTTTAAGTTTTTTTTATTTATTAAATAGTAACGCCGAGCGGCTATACTCGGAACTTTTTTTAAATTTTTTAAAAATAAATAGTATTGCCGTGCGGCTATACTTTAGGACATATTTAATTTTTTTATAAATAGTATAGCCGCGCGGCGATACCCGGGACCTTTTTCTTATTAAATAGTACAGTCGCGCGGCTATACTCGGGATTTTTTTAATAAAATAAATAGTATAGCCAGACGGCTATACGTTTATATTTAAAGCGGCTATACTCGGGATTTATTTAATACTATTCTCGGGATTTTTTTAATAAAATAAATAGTATAGCCAGACGGCTATACGTTTATATTTAAAGCGGCTATACTCGGGATTTATTTAATAAAGAGTATAGCCGAGCGCAACCATCCTCTGTAGCGTAGAGTCATAGACACTGAAGCCAGTCCACTGTGAATCTCCAAAGCTCGAGAAGAAGCAACGATGTCAAAGCTGGGTCTTCTTCGAACCTCAATCATGTCAAGCCTCTCCGTCCGTACGTCCATGGCGCAAAACCTCGGCCTCACTTCGCTTCTGCGCGAACCGGTGAGACGGTTTTCGACGGAAGCCGAAAACCGGCTTCAGGACTCTTCAACGTCCAATCAGCCGCTGGAGTCTTCGCCGTCCGATAAACCTCAGAAGTCTTTGCCATCCGATAAGCCTCAGGAGTCTTCGCCGTCCGAATCATTTTTCGAAACCCCAAGCACAGGTATCAGACTCAGCTGCCGCGGGCATTTTCGTCATTTTGCATTTACAAGTTAGGGTTCTATGGGTTTTGGGTTCTAATTTCATTGACAAACGTGGCAATGTGTTTTATGTGCTGTTTTCAGGATCGGTGTATGGGAAGCTGCTTGGAATCAAAAGGAATACGCTGAAGACAGACGTCGTGAATTTGCTGGAAGGCTGTAATTTGAGTCTGGATGATGTTAAAATGGATTATAATCGGTGGTTTACGGCGATGGGAATGTAAATTGCGTGTTGTTTAATTTGTTTATTTGCGAGTAGAAAGATAGTTTTTCACATCAATTGTTGATGCTTTTAATTTCCTGTATGCAATGCAATGAATTCATTAGATGCTACCAATAAAATGTATTTCCTGATGCTTAGATTTGCATTTTTTTGTTATTAGGTTGGTGCAATTCCCGTCTCGGCAAGCCTATGATAACGCAATGAGGGTGATTGGCAAAAAGGGTCGCCTGTTTAAATTGGAGAGGGTAATGCTGCCATGCCATGATGCTTTGATAAGATGTAGTTGTTGCTTACCTATTTTGTGGTGTAGTGTGCTAATGCTTGGTTTATGAATGACAGGCTAATCGAGCGGAATGGGACTCTCTTACTCCCCATGATGGAAAAACGGTAAGTCTAAGGTTTTCTGTTGTATGCTTTTTGTTTTTAACCAAGTGTTTTTCCCCTTTAATGGAGTAAGTTTGTTCAAAAAAATCACTTGTTATAGTATTGACCAAGTAGGAGGACAATATTCTTGATGCCTTAAACACCGTTAATATATTGTTCATGAGGAATCCATATATTCGGCATTAGAGGCTAATTCAAACTCTACTGGCTGGCTATATATGCCATAGGCAGTTTGATACTGTACAGTTTTCTTGGGTTCCTGGACACCGTTGTTTTAGTATGTTTGCAAGAAATTTGGTAAACCGGGGATGCCGTATGTACATATTATATGTTGTCTTTGTAATTTTGAGTCTCCCCCCAAGTATATGCCATGAACAAGTGATACTTTGTTTTGGTGATTGAATTAGAATCCAATATATCTTTAGCTTACAATCAATTTGTTATCCCATGACGAAGATATTTCTGAAAACACTTTAAATGGACTTGCCTGCTGTTACCAGGTTTTATTGCAAGGAATCCCTCCTAATGCAGTTCCAGAAGATGTAGATCGTTTTCTGTCTGGTTGTGAATATGATTCGTCTTCCCTCCAATTAAGTTTCAGGTATGCCTAGTAGATTTCAAAGAATATAAACTCATAAATATCATTCTTACATTGATTTCACTTTGTTAAATCTTTTTTTTTAAAATGTTTTTTTTTTTTGCAGACCTTCCCAAGAGCCCACTAAATGGGCAACTGTTCGCTTTCGTACTCAAACTGAGGCAATGAATGCATTCGACGAAGATATTTCTGAAAACACTTTAAATGGACTTGCCTGCTGTTACCAGGTTTTATTGCAAGGAATCCCTCCTAATGCAGTTCCAGAAGATGTAGATCGTTTTCTGTCTGGTTGTGAATATGATTCGTCTTCCCTCCAATTAAGTTTCAGGTATGCCTAGTAGATTTCAAAGAATATAAACTCATAAATATCATTCTTAAATTGATTTCACTTTGCTAAATCTTTTTTTAAAAAAATGTTTTTTTTTTGGGCAGACCTTCCCAAGAGCCCACTAAATGGGCAACTGTTCGCTTTCGTAGTCAAACTGAGGCAATGAATGCATTCTTTTTGAAGAACAAAGGCTTCTGCCTGAATGGTGAAGTTTTGATGCGTGTTCTCCAGTAACAGTTTCTGCTTTCTTGGTTCCCTTTGTCAGGAGCATTGCTTTGAGACATGATAAAATGAGGATAGGATTTTGTAGTATCATCTGAACTCGGTATATGCTGTTATGTAGCATGAAGCATGTTTAAAGAGGAAATGAATTATTTTTTTTTTTTTTCAAGTTGAAGGTAGAAGATGGATTACTAATGAAAAAAAAAAAATTTATCCCATCTAATCCCCGCAAAATGGTAGGATAAGAATATCTTATAACTAATCCCTCCGAATCCCCTCAAAATGGAAAAATCATTCATCTTTACTTTCATTTCCTCTATCAACATACCTTAGATTTAATATCCAATCCAATCTATTCAATTGAGATTTTAAAAGACTATTTAGGGATAAAAAAGTCTAGTGGATTTAACTAGAATATAATGACTTATAGGATTTTATTTATGGATTTATATAATAAAGATTTTTTACTTAAGAAATTTAAAGATTTCTATAATATGATTTATAATATTTGAAAGGACCACATGGATTTTTCTGGGTTCGACATAAGATTTTTTTCGAAGAAATAGACCCGTAAAAATTAAAAGCTAATATTATTTCATTGTTTGTATGTCTTTCTCAATACAAAAATAGGAAATAATATTATTTCATCAACTTCCGAACTCTTGCTGCCCCGTCCCAGCATCCCACGCTAACATACAGGTTTGCCAATTGCACATGGGTATAACCACACTCTGGCTCCAATTGTACAGGTTTGCCATGCTATCTGCAGCCTCAATGCCAATCCACACACTTCCATGAACCCTACAGGACGAAAGGCTGCGATGTAAGGCTGTGCTGGGCATGTATACCTTGCAATCATGGAGTTCCAAGATACATTATCTTTGCCATCCAAATTTTTGAATATGTAAAGCGCATCTTTAACATCCCCACATTTGCAGTACATTGAGATAAGAGCATTAGCAATGTGAATGTACGAATTGAACCCCATCCGAATGGTTTGGCAATGAACACTTCTTCCATGCCCAAGAGCTCCACTGCCTGTGCAAGCACTCAGAATACTTGCATACGTAAAATCATTGGGTTTTGAAGAATGTCTCATCTCACTGAAAAGCTGCAAGCACACATCAACGTGCCACTCTTGTGCAAACCCTGAAATAATGGCTGTCCATGACACCGCATTTCTCACAGGCATTTCCTCGAAAACATGATAGGCATTCTGTAACTCGCTGCATCTACCATAAAAGCTCACCAAAGAGCTTCCAATATAAACATTGGCCACAAGCCCACTTCTTATTGCTGCACAGTGATACTGAATCCCACTATGGAGATTACGAGAAGACCCACATGAGCTTATGGCATGTGACAAAACGCTTGCATCAATCCGAAACCTTTCTGCGCATGATGGAGAATCAACAGAGCTAGAATCAAACAGTTCATCGAACAAAGTTGAGATTTTTATTGGCGAATTTGAATCAGAGAAAGCAGAGGCATTGCTGAAGTGTTCGGAATCTGACTGTAGAAAGTCCTGAATGAGCCGAAGATGGCCTTGGCCGCGACGCGCAGTGAGGGTTGGCTTTGGGGTGATGAGGTCGAGAACTCTAAGAGCGTTGTGTAGCTTCTTGGTTTTCTGCGATGTTCGTGTGAGGTTGGGAGAAGAGAAGAATGGCTTAGAGTGTGATGAATGTGTTTGTAAAATAGATTGAGAAAGCTTCTTCCTGAAACTGAAAGAGGCGTGAAGGAGAATTCCATTCATTCGTGTGAACAAAGCCCATGAAGCTTAGCTGCCACTATTGATTGTTGAGCTTTTTCCTTTCCTTTTGTTAATCTGATATGTTGATTGCTGATCTGAGCTTAAAAGCTGTATATTATGCCAGCAGCCTAACACTACTAAAATAAAAGTTTCGAATGTCCCTTTATTTTCACCATACCAATTTGCAGGGAAGTTCTCATTGAGAATTTTCTCCTCTAGCCATAAAAACGTAACATGTACGGTGCTATTAAAACATAACATGCCTTACAAGTTTTTGAGTGGCAAGTAAGTACGATGTCATTATAACATAATTTGTCTATAGGAAAAAGGAAATAGAAAGAAGTGTGGTTCATATTCCCTTATATTTAACATCTTTCAGCTTAATCTACTGTTTCCAACCTTCGCAAAAATATTTCGAAGGACCTTATATTAAAATGCCACCCTCGTATCAAAATGAAATGCCCATGAATGACTGCATAACACAGATCATTGAAATCTCAAATCAGCTACTTTCATGGGAGCTCATAAGTTCAGTCATAGTTCTACCACTGAAGTTATGAGCTCCCATGAAAGTAGTTACTTATCACCCGACAATAAGGTATCAACATTGACATCTAGATTGTTTCCTACTGCAGATAACATGCCAGTTTCTTCCTGTCCATTTTGGAGGGCTGTCTAATGAACAGATTGATTGCTCAATGACATGTCTCGATGCCGTCTCCTTCCTAAAGTAGATAAGGTACCATCTTCCTCAAAGTTTTCTTCGCCTCTTTCTCCATGTAAATAAACCCACAACTTTCTGTGCCTGTCAAATTCTACACATGGATCAAATTCTTAGTGCAGCCGAGACAGAGCACACCTAACAACTCGGCAAAGTTGTTCATCAGAGACATCTTCCACTATATACTGTGAGTGACGAACAAGAGTAGAAACATCTTCCCTGGTACCGATACTTCCAGGCAATCTAGCAGCTGCATCTCTCACAAGACAGAGATTGGTGATATGAGGTGGTCGATCAGCTTTAAGCATAAAATGATCTCTGTTTCTATATGATGGCTTAGCACTGCAACTAGTTAGAGGAGCAACTGCAGACTTGCTACCATCCAGTGCTGTGTAAGAAAATGCCATATCTGGGACTAAATACCTCAAAGCTTCCTCCCTTTGAAAGTACGTTCTTACTTCTTCAGAGCTCAGACTGATAGCATTCTTTTGAGACATTATGTCCCTGAACCATTCGCTTTCATCTAGTGTTGGTTGCATTAAAATCAAAGGTGGTGCAGGAAGGCTTCCAACTTGACGAAATCTCTCTTGAAAACTCTTGTACCAAATAGCAAAGGAATCAACTAACTTCACAAGCACATTATGGTGAAGACTCCAAGCTTTAGAAGATACATATTCCTCATCAGCATTGCATGAGTTAAAGTTGATGGGACCAACCCATGACCAATATTTACTGGACTTGCAATAGAAAGCGAGTGGCTTCCATCCTCTAGCTCCTAAAGGCGCTGTTTTGGATGAAAATATCTCCAAAACCCCTGTGACTAAATCCTGAAGGGGCTCTTGGGTTTGAAGAATAGAAGGATCCATTGGAGATGATCTAACACGCTCAAGAATCTTGTTAAGAGTGAGAGAAGGTAAACTTTTTGAATTGGTTAGTACAGAATCACTAATGCCTTTATCTTTGAGAGAATAAAATCCAATTATCCCTTCAGCATTGCTAACCCCTTGATCATTTCCATACACCACATCATTGTGGAACAACCATTGCTCTTTGAATGGCAGTAAGGAGATGCACAATGGAGAATGAAAATCCAGTATGAACAGTAGGAATGGGCAATTTGAATCCCTGCTTTTTCAACGGTAAATTTACTGGTGCTGCAACTTCCACAGTTTCTTTTTTTGAATAGGATCCTGCCACCCTTCTCCATTTCTTTGCCATTAACATGCCTAATCTATCATGACCATGACTATCCAACAACTGACATGGTTCATACAAATTATCATCCTTCTCACTGACATCACTTTTCATATATTTTGGTACGAGCGAAGATAGCTTCTTAAACATTTTCATCTTTTTCTGCTTTCTCCCTGCAGGATATGGGGCAAATGAAAATCTAAGACTGCCTGCAGCATCTTCATCCTTCGTAGAACCTCCAAAGTCAGCTTGCTGACGCTTTACCAAAAAATTAACCTTTCTCCCAGCCACATCCGAATGACTATCACCCCTCGACTTCCCCTTCAAATCCTTTATGCTTGGAATCCCTTTCACACTATGCTTCATTCCATGTGAACGTAACCCACCATGAAGCTGACTAGGATCTTCATTAGCCAACTGTACCAAAGCATGCGCGGCATCTATATGACTCTGAATAGCCATTTGCCAAGATGGATGATGATGGTCTCTTTTGAACCCATTTTTTATACTTCTCAACAGCACTGCCCACAGGACTTTGAGTCCTCCATTTTTCACTTTCCTCATTGAACCGTGACTTCCAGTTTCCATATTTCTTCAATCTCAAAATTGAAGGCCGTCACAGAGAAAAATCTGAGGTTTGACTAACAGTGTAAATAAATAGCATAGCAAAATAATCGTAGAGTCATCATCATCATCATCATTTCTTGACACTGAAACTCCAGCATTAGTCTTCACTACTACATCTCAATTCACTAAGGAAAAATTCAAATTGTATCCCTGGTCGAATTTTAAAAAAGGTAAAAAAAAAATGCAAGGACTGTTAATTGCTAAGAAAATTTAAGAACAATTCAAAATTCGCATAACAAGTTTATTGCGAAACAGCACTTAATAAAACAAAGGCTTTGTTTAGTCAACCCAACAAGACAATTCGTGAAAGAAACCCACAACAGATATCACGATTATTTATTCTAACGCACTCCAAATCTAAACTTGTTCATCATCACCACCACCTAAAGAGTTCATGAAATTCAATATTTACCCAAAAATACCCCTATAGAGCCTATGATACAACCTTTCCTGGAAAAAAAAACAAACAAACAAACAAGCATTTGGCTTCATTGAGCAGCAAACCGGCAAACCAGGGGAGGAAGAACCAAAAAGGAGGCATACTAACATCTTAGAAAGGAAAAAAAAAAAAAAAAGGGTTAAAATTTAACCTTGTGTTGTGATCTTTGTATAATGATATACTAAAATAACTGCATATAGTGTTTGGCAGCAGAGAAAAATGTGGGGAAATGAATAAGATGGTTGGTTTAGCTGCAACAAAGAAAAAGGCTACATTTTGTTTAGACAAAACACAATATACAATATAAAGCAGATTACTAAAAAGTACAAATTGTTTCAAGTTTTTTCATTTTCACAGAAACCAAATAACTTGATGAGAACAGAGTTTGGAGGGTACCTTCCTTCCTAGTTAGCTACACCACTTGGTTTCTGAGGAGACAATTAAAAACTCAAAGCAGAGAGCAAATGGAGGAGCATTTGGTGGATGAAAAACCCTAGAGAAGCATATAGTAAGTACGGAAGATGAAGCGTGTAACAAAAGGTATTAATTTGATCTTTGTTTTCTTTTCTTTCTGGGGTTTTATGTATGTGTCGCGTTGTGACTTGTTAGTGAAGAAGACGATGCTGACATGGAAAAGCAAGAGTAAACTGACGGGGCATTGGTGATGTGGATGGATAGGGAAAAGACGTAAAAGGACAGGGAAGTTTTCATTTCGAAGTTCATTGATGTTCCGGAGTTTTTATTTTTTATTTTTTATTTTTTTATTTCGGTTGACATATTGCTGAATTTATTCCCACGATATTGTTGGGATTTTAGCAAATACAAGCATTATGCATTAAGAAGCAATAAGAAAATAATCTAAGCTCTTTTTTTGATAGTTCAAGTATTCAAGTAGCTATTTCTAATTCTATCATGAAAAAGCAGTAAGAAATTATTCTAAGTGCCAATGAGGGTTGGTTCAATTGATAAGGTCCCTGCATTATGTGTAGCCTCACTAGTGTTCGAGTCCCGCTGTCGATAGTCTTCATTAGTGCACGATCTGAAATTTCCTACATAAATCCATAACGGTGTCAGCTGGCAGTTAGGTGCCACGCATAATCCTTTCGGCTCGAGGTTGTGGGTATGCCCTAGCGTTTGTGGTGAGAGTAGCCAATCTCCCCATAAACTTTTTTTTTCACAAAAATGAAATAAAATAATTCTAAGCTCTTTCTCTTTATTTTCTATTTTGATAGCTCATGAAAAAGGAGTGAAATCATGTTTGAATAATTATCTCCTAAAATGCCAACAAGGTCTAACCCAATGAGAAATGACCTTGAATTACAAACCAAATGTCTCAGGTTCGAATCCCAACGGCATCATAGTTGTGTGTGTGTGAGAATCCCCCCTCCCATCTAGTTTAGACTATTGCTTGTACTCAAAAAAATAATTATCTCCTAAAAATATAACACATACTTGCAACCTTACATTCACATAATAGAGGAAAGAATTGATTTTAAAAATTGTTCGACCAATGAGTTTTGATCGTGCAATGCAGGCAAGTAAATTAATCAACTTGATCAACACCCACTGATTAATCTTGTATTAGTAAAGCCTAACATGTTACAAGCAATACAACAATATCATTGACTAATATAACAGTCACCTAACCTTCCAATTCAGTGTCCATTTTTAAGTAAGAAAATGTTCTCTAACCGTCTAGCAAGACCAGTTTTCAAATCATTTATCCTCTACACCTGCTGTTTCGGGTCTATCTAAACTTTTTTTTTCACAAAAATGAAATAAAATAATTCTAAGCTCTTTCTCTTTATTTTCTATTTTGAGAGCTCATGAAAAAGGAGTGAAATCATGTTTGAATAATTATCTCCTAAAATGCCAACGAGGTCTAGCCCAATGAGAAATGACCTTGAATTACAAACCAAATGTCTTAAGTTCGAATCCCAACGGCATCATAGTTGTGTGTGTGTGAGAATCCCCCCTCCCATGTAGTTTAGACTATTGCTTGTACTCAAAAAAATAATTATCTCCTAAAAATATAACACATACTTGCAACCTTATAGAGGAAAGAATTGATTTTAAAAATTGTTCGGCCAATGAGTTTTGATCGTGCAATGCAGGCAAGTAAATTACTCAACTTGATCAACACCCACTGATTAATCTTGTATTAGTAAAGCCTAACATGTTACAAGCAATACAACAATATCATTGACTAATATAACAGTCACCTAACCTTCCAATTCAGTGT